AGCCAGCCATAGAAGCTCCAATTTGCGACCCACGGGAATTTGCAAATTGGAGCTTCTATGGCTGGCTGGATCTTCTCTGGTATACTATCCCTTTATTTCGGCCAATTTCTACTATTTTTCCAGCGATCCGCGGAGCCTGGTAGAGGCTATAACATAATATTATTGGAGACAAAATCTCCAATAATACCATGGTTAAGCAACGCAAACCCTCATTGGTCTTCAACTTTGGCACAGACTGAGTCACAACCAATTGGCAGCTTCCTAACATATCAATGGAGACACAACCTCCAATAATACGCTGGTTAAGATTTTCTTCAGCATCTTTATTACATCACATATGACTTGCGGATTTTAATGTCAATTGTTTTTTCTGGAAAACATTTTTCTATATGTTCTTATAAGTTCTTATATTCCTAGCAATAACCACTCATACCTCCAGATAGAAACATATGTACTGTATGGATAAACACAATAGTGAAGGAAAGGCCTCAAGCTATATTAACACAAGAAACCATACAGAAATATTGCTGTTGGTACTACCTTATTCCTCTGTTTTTAGTACTCCAAACTGATCTGACAACGTGAAAGGAAAGTCCAGGAAACTGATGGCGCGTGTTTGGTCATCGTACTCGGAGCCCAGCGTCCAGAGTTTCTCCAGCTCGTAATTCTCACGCGTCTCCGGGAGCATCAAGTGTAGAGCTATGTTACCTGGGAAACAATGGGAGGGATGGTTACAAAGTGTCAGTGTTCTACACTAAACAAAGTCTATTTGTGTTGTAACAATGGTAGGGATAGTTGCAAAGTGTCATTGTTTTACACCCATCGAAGTCTATTTTTAACACAATCTGAAACACATTTGGGGCATATTTCTGGCAGTCAACATTAATTTATCGAAAAGAAAATTAAAGTGGGATATATACATTTTATTTTATTACATTATTTTGCTTTATTATGCTAAAAGCTTTTCTTTGCATTACCAGTCAATATCATTCTCCTCTCAATCCTTTAGAAATGTTTGCAGCAAAGTATACATAACTTTATATCATACCCGGGCTGCGATAACGTTCGATAACGGGTTCCGGACCGGGACGTACTTTACAGTACGGCCCGGTCCTGAACTCGTTATCAAACGCTTCCATAAAACGATTCGAACGCGATTCGCCCTAACCGCGTGTGCCCCTTTCGAAAATTCGAATACAGAATCTGGACGTTAGAATTGATGTTGTTGCATTTTAGGGTTTAGTGGCACCAACTTTTGGCTCATCTTGCATTGAAAGGCGTGTTTTCTTGGGTGGGTATGACATGAATAAAATACAACACAGTGTATTCTGCATCGCCCTCGGTCCCGGCCCTCCCGCGAGTCGGATCGCCCTCCGGCCTTTGGGCGATCTGACCCGCGGTCGGGCCAATACCTCGGGCGATACGGAATACCCCGTATTGTATTCTATATATATACATGAAGAGGTGTATATGAAATGTTCTGTGTTAAACTATGTATAGACATACATGTACCTAGATCAATGGCCATCCAGTCTTCACAGTCCTCCCCTTCAACTGTCACAAACTTGTCCTTGGCTCCTTTACGATCCTTATGCTGTAGAAGGAAAGCAAAAAGATGTTTACAACTTCTGAATCACAATACAGCCAGAAATCAAGATGCCATTTCATTTTCTCTTGCTATGCCTCTACCCAGAATTGTCCTATATCAATGCACTTTAGCTACAGTAACTCTATTTACGCCTAGTCTCTACCAGACTAACTACGCTGGCTAGGAGAATACTTGCCAGGGGAGTTTGGCCACCTTGTAGGTTTGACTGGGCCACACAGTTAAGAAAGAAACTACCTCCCCGTGGCTGGACTCCCTTGGCCCATTTGATTCTCTTTTTTGCCAAATTCTATGATCCGTATTCCCGTAGAAAGGCCTGGTGGAGGCTAATTTAGGCCAGCCAGTAAGAAAAAAATGTGTTTCCTGATTCATTTCTGAAAAAATTAGGGTTGGTAGGTAGGGATTATCATTTTTCTTCTTTTTTTTTTATTACACTTTGGCAATCTCTAGTGATCGAACTTATATGTCAATGTTGGAAAACCAATTGTACAGCGTTTTATCACTCAGGTGTCAGATCATGGAGCTAGAAAAGGTTGATAGGTCAAAAAATGTATGTCACTTGCAGGTCTCCACACACAAAAAAGGCTAGATTCTGCAGTTTTTTCTGGGGTCGGTCAGGAAACACAACATTTTTTCCTAGGCCTTATTTTGGCCTTATTTGTGGCAACGCTAAGCAGAAGTGAAGGAACAAGTGTTAACATACCAGTCTTATGATGTACTGTGCCATGGACTTCAAGTGTCTGGTGGAAGAACCACTCACAATAACCAGGAAGTCAACGTACTTCATGGACTGGAAAGGTGGAGAGTAATAATGATAAACAAACAAACAATGAAAAACAACAGATGGTAAGCAAATGCAACAGAAATTTTAGGGAAACTTGACAAAATTTTCACTCTTTTCAATGTAGTATACAGTACTTTTATTAGCCATTCACATTGTATATTTGCCTCAGAATACATTCTATGATTTGAATACTACTAGTAATAGAACTACAACATTGTACTCAATAATGTGATAATATTTGAACGTAAGACTTACCAAAGGTACTTTGATCACACAGATATCCTTGGCATTTTCACCCCGTAACTCCTCAACAAGTTCACCAATGGTCAAAACACCTTTTGACCTTTCTGTAGGACAGGTTTTGGGGGGAGGGCATATCATCATTATTCACATCTAACTTGCAACATGTTTAACATAATTCTAGTGTAACTAGACAAATCGCATCAAATATTTCCATATCATGCAAAAAGTTAAAACTGTGGCTTGCTTTACAATGTAGTATGGATTATAAAATTAAATGTACGTGTGCAGAAAATTAATTAATAAATAAATAAATTTAACCTGATAAGACAGCACTTATATTCAGGGCTGAGCATAATTTACAACATCAGAATATTATTGTACTTTTGTAACGAAATTGGATAATTTGGCTAAGGTTTCGAACCTACCTCGTCTTGTGTTATTTCCGAAGGTTTTGTCTTCTGTCGATTCAGTAGTTGGCACTGTTTCTTCCGTGACAAATTCTGAACCCTCCCCAAACACACCCTTCCTTTCTTCTAGTCTCTCCGTCGCTTCTGCTTCGTAGTTAGATTTCCTGGGTCTGTCAGGTTCGTCTGTGGTGAAGAATCTGTGGTTGGATCTGTAAGGGGTCCATGGCACACCTAAGAATCCAGTGTATTGAAGAGCAAATCTTTGGTTTAGCGGGCTCCAACGGTGGCCCAAGTTTCGCACAAGTTTTGCGGCACTTTTTGAGCAGTCCATCAGCCGATTTTCACTTCTATGATAGCGGCATACAGTATCTGTACGAACTACGTTGCAAATTCTAGAAGAAATGGCAGAGGAATGAGAAAAAAAGCGTTTGAAAGACATAATTCCGAGGAGTGTGGCTGTTTCGCAGCACATGGCAGCCATTGCTGTCACCTTTGACCTCTAGTGGCATAGTCGATTAATTTCACGGGGGTGTGGACAGCCTGGGTGATTCAAGAGGTCACAACTCTTCAAATAAATTCCTGTGTTCTTCAAATGCCCGTCAAAATATATGTTGTTTGGTGAATTATTAAAAAAAATGACATTTCTTCAATTATTATACTGTCTAGAATTTTGATCATCGAGCATACTGATAACGTTATACTAGTTATAACGCTAACGCGTCACAATATAATTACGGAAAACATCTTTTTTTAAATTCCTGACTCTGAAAATTCCAAAGCTATCCCATGTAACACTAAATATTTCCTTCTATTTCCTCTGTAGAATCAGGAATGAAGACACGTACATTGTAGGCAAGTTTTGCAACTATAAACTTCGTAGACTAATTAATAGGCTAAATGGGGAATGGACGGTGTTCAGCACCAAGGACAGGCACAGGGGTGCAAGAGTATACAGTGCAATTTTACGGAATACAGTGCAATTTTACGGAATACAGTGCAATTTTACGGAATGCAGTACAATCGTATTAGTATACAGTGCAATTTTACGGAATACAGTGCGATCGTATTAGTATACAGTGTAATTATATTAGTATACAGTGCAAGTTTACAAGTAAAATTGCACTGTATACTAAAACGATTGTACTGTATGCCGTAAAATTGCACTGTATTCCGTAAAATTGCACTGTACTCCGTAAAATTGCACTGTATAATCTGGCACCCCTGAGGTATGTTTGCCTATACATGTATGTGTCTATCTATGGATACCATTTTGAAAACGAGAGACTTGTAAGTCGTGGTACACCGCACAACAGCGCCGCCAGCGGATGCTTGACAGAGTGCAACATTCAACACGGAGAAACAGTTGTGGAAAGTTGTTATGTAACGTTAGTAAACAAACCTTTGACTCCCGACCTTAGTTAGTTTGCTGAACGGTTCGTGTACTGTGCATTCATGCCGTCGCCATGGCCTTATAGTCTACAACATATGTGAAATACACGGTACAAGATTATGTAAGTATCTGTGTTATTTGTAACTGCACAGGTTGTTGTTAACGCAATTGTGAATTATGAAGGCGCAGCAAAGCCGATTGTTGCATAAAGTTGAACCCGGTTGAGCTAGGAAAGAAATGGAAGAAACAGGAAGAAACGTTTAACATGGGAAGAGCTGCAATGTAATTGTCAGGAGTGCCAGAGAATACAGTGCAATTTTACGGAATACAGTGCAATTTTGCTAGTATACAGTGCAATTTTACTAGTATACAGTGCAATTTTACGGAATACAGTGCAATTTTGCTAGTACGCAGTGCAATTTTACGGAATACATTGCAATTTTACTAGTATGCAGTGCAATTTTACTAGTATACTGTGCAATTTTACGGAATACAGTGCAATCGTATTAGAATACAGTGCAATTTTACTAGTATACAGTGCAATTTTACTAATAGAATTCCACCGTATACTTCTACGATTGCACTGTATTCCGTAAAATTACATTGTATACTAATACGATTGTACAGAATTCCGTAAAATTGCACTGTATTCCTAAAATTGCACTGTATACTCTGGCACCCCTGTTCTGCACATGTAAACCTGGCAAATACAGATTGTATGTACATTGACAAGATAACTTCATGTTCAACATAGATCGTTAAAAACTGCACCGAAAACGCTGGAATTGTTCACAACGTGCTTGCTTAGTTGGTGAACAGTAAATGTAGGCCATATTTTACGTAAGATGGTACTACATACCAACGTTACCAAGTTTCCTTTAACAAGGTCTCGAAGTCCACACCGCGGCTAGTGGCATTGTGTTTGACTAAATAATTATTAAACCATCAAACGAACACTGTTAAGTCGGTGAAGGTCAGACAGAAGGTCAGATACGCAAAAAAAGCAGTTACTCAAGCAACCTTGATGATGCACGTCTTTTTATTTTCACCGTAGCAGTTTTGATATTGAAGTAAATGCGTATTTTAGAAACATCCCTACTTTTACAATCCTGTGGAATGGGCCGTAGGTTTAGGTAGTTGTCTGGTAGCCGAGGTTCTCTAAGCAGATATTAGGTGGCTGTTGTGCATACTGGTTGCGAGTATCTTTTGGGATTGTGGTTTGCACCTACTGCGATACCTTGTCAAATGAATAATATGTAGTAAATGAAAGATATTGTTATGAAAGCTGACTTTGTTCATCTATTTCATAGATTGTCGTGTTGTTGATTTTTTTTGTTTTTATTCATTTTCACGCAAACAATAGACATAAACATAAACATAGCGCCTCCCTAAAATCTAATACATAAAGTAAAATTAATACATAGAAATACACTATACACTGAAAGTACCCCACTTACCCCGATGCCTCTCCAGCTTCCCTCCCCGAGACGCAATCAAGTATTCTGTTTTTTGATAAAAAATTACTACTTTTTTTAAAGGATTCAAAGTTCAAAATTTTGGATGTCCTGGACTGAAATATGAAGACGTACCCAACAATATTAACGGTTTTGCTTCTTTAGACATGTCTCCAAAAATAACATTGAGGGAAGTTACTTTTAAATTTGAACCAGTTTCTTGTAATACCCAATCCTGCACTTTCCTCCAGAAGGGGACAACATAAATACAATCATAAAACATGTATTTGATGTTTATTTTATGTAGCCTGTGTTTACACTAGTCAGTCTGCAACTGTTTCCCCAAGGGGGGTGGCAAACTTCTGGGCAGGTGGCCACCAGGAGCGTGATTTTTTAGTCAGGCTAGATTATTAGACCAGGGATTTAGCCATTTTTACGATACGTTATTACCAGTTGTTAAGGGATCACACACTGTTTACATACACTATTACTGTTCTCAATCTGCGAAATATAAAACTTCACGGAGAATTGACACTTGTTTTTTTTTTCGCCCTATCGCTTTAGATTTTGGAGTTTGCGGAGGATGTCATCCGTAAAATTTTCATGCTGTGGCCTAATCCGAAACTCTTATTTTCACTAACAGAAGAACATGGCGAATGACCATGCAGATGTGGGGAGGCCCTGGTCGTCGGAAGTTCGTCACAAGATCAGTGATTTCCTGGTCGTCACTGCTGTCATCTCACATCCGCTGTTTACCTGTTCTGGCGCGGGACTTGGAATCTTCTAGAGGAGTCCCTACCCGGTGACGCTGGCGCCCGCGCCTGGCTGTCCCTTGCCATCGGTAGCCCGGTACTTCTCCTAGCCGGGCTGCTGCAGTACCAAATCCAACAGCTAGGGGGCAGCATACAGAAGAAGAGCGCGGTCGGCTACCACGTTTTGGGTATGGTGTATTCGTACGTGATCGCGTTTGCTGCTGTCTCTCAATGGCGGCGTTTTTGGAACCTACCTGATTACTACATACCCCAAATGGCTACCCCTCTAGGGTACGGACTGAGGACGATTCTTGGGTTCGTTGCCATGGTGATTTTTCGGACGGTGCAACTCGGAGGCGGATGCCCGCGAGCGGTCTCAGTCGACTCGGAACCCGATCCCTTCCGAGTCGATCTCCGATTCCACACGAACAGAGCCGAGCGGTTTAATTCGTGTAAGTTCGTGCTTGACGTCGTGTTTTCTCTTTGGGTGTGCGACTTCGCAACGGTACAATATTGGGCAGGGCTCTGGGGTTTTCTTGATGTTGTAATTTTTCCCGACGACACTACCGCTCTTTCGTACTGGATTTCGGTTGGTATTGGATACGGTGTACACCTACTATCAACCTTCGCACAACATCCAGTCAGCACTCTCTCTAAGCAACTAAAAGGCACCAAATACGAGTTCTGGAAAAGGCTTGCTCTTGAGGATTCCTACTTACTCTTTGTTAACAGTGGTGTGGTGAACACGTGGAGAGGGGTTTGGAGTGTGTACGATAGTTATATTCTCACAGAACGGCCGAAACTCAGTGCATGGGTGACCCACGGGGTCGGAGCGGCGGCGTGCTTTCTGGTGTTCGCCGGTAGAAGTTTGTCGAATGGCGGGGGTATTGGAGTGACTGTGGACGGGGAATCAGACGACGGGACGGGCGTACTCAACTGTGGCTATCTGCAGGATAGCCTGGACGAGACTACTAGTACCAGCCGCGTTGAGTTAGATACCCGACTGTAATGTTTTGGGTCTTACAATAAACCTTTACGGACTAAGTTGTTTAATAAGTAGATATAGAAGAACACAGATGACATGTATGTTATTGTTAGATAAAATATCATTTCTAACTTTTAGAAATTCCATACATAACCACACTATACCTCCTGTTAAACTCTTTTGATCCGCAAAACATCTACAGTTGGCGCACCCTTCGTTGTTAGATATCTTTTATATTATAACTACTGCTATCATTATTATTATTACTGTTTCTTGTATTATTTATACCTATGTTATCGTAGTTATTACAGTTGTTCTGTTTTTTTAAATATAGTTAGTGATTATTTGTATTTGTTATTACTTGTATTTTAGATTTATGTATGTTTTTATCTGGACAGTGGGCTTGGAAAAGGCATCTGCCTGTTCCCCCTGCCCTGTCTTTGTGACAAAGTTGAAATAGTGAAAACGTTGTGACAATAAATAAAAAATACAGCTCACCAATTAACAGTTTCATTACGTTTATTTTCCCTTATGCTTAGCTTTGCTTTGATTTGCATAATCTAAATTGCAACTTCTCCAATTTCACCACGACACTTACTAGTATATCAGAGCACGAAGAAAAGTCACGTATACTGTCATGAAGAAGACTAAAAACAAACAAAACTCAATCGACTTTGGAAGTCCCAGCACCACCCCTGCTGTAATATTTGAGGTTTGGGTGGTAGTTTGGTGTCTTAGTGTCTATATGACAATATGTATCTTATAAACGAGATCCAAACAGTTCGATTACTTCTGCTGAGCCGTGTTAGCGCCGGCGCCTATGAACCCCCCACTTTTACACTACTATAGTATGCACCGGGGCGTAGTGAAAGGCTATTTTTAACACACGTTATCAAGAATACAAACAGATCTTATTTACTTTGTACTGTAGGCTGGTAGAGTTCCGAACTCCCGTCAACGAGGGAATAAGAGAGATAGCAGACTTCACCCCCTTCATGAAAAGTCAGAAACACAGACACCCACACAGACACACACACATACATACAATTCATGCACGCTCACAAATATCACACATTCACACACACACACACATTCACACACACATTCACACACACACACACACACACACACACACGCATTCACACACACACATACACACACACACACACACACACACACACACACACACACACACACACACACACACACATACATTCACACACACATTCACACACACACACAATCACACACACACACTCCTGCGTAAATACATATAATACAAACATGCATGCATGATGTAAAAGCTACAAAATATTGAGTAGTCAGTGATCTTTGGTCACCCTACGACAGTATGACAGATTAGAAAACAAGCACGTGAGCACCTCGTGGTGCCAGGTACGACCCATGTAGGGTTCAACCATGTGATATTTGTGTATACCTGGAGGGCGTTTCAGCCCATTGATTATAGGGCCAATAGTAGGATACTAAGTACTTGTATCTGTAGTCATTCCAGGGGCTACACTGTACAGTTTTCCCTACTGTGATCTGTATGTTACAGACCGCACACTGTAAGTATACACTGTGTGTCTTACATTATAAAACCTATAGGATACTAAGTACATTCCAGGGCTATGTATACACTGTACAGTTTAGCCTAAACACCAGGATACTAAGTACATGTACCTGTAGTCATTCTAGGGGCTACACTGTACAGTTTTTCCTCCTGTGATTTGTATGTTACAGACCGCACACTGTAAGTATACACTGTGTATCTTACATCATAAAACCGTAGGACTACAGTGATATAACGCATGATATTGTTTGCTCAAAGGCATTTTCTGATCATAGCTACATTAGCGTTGAACTTACCGTAGTAAGAGGGGGGGTCATTTCACGTAATAACTTTGTATTGCTGGTGATATTTTGTACACTAAGAGTAGCCTATTGTACATAATGCTTTTACCGGTGATATGTGTGTGTTCGGTCCTTCAATGAATTATGCCGTATACATTCAGGTACTGATATATGATGCTCGTATATATATCGTGGTGTGCCCCTCCCCCTTATACGCACGTGTGCACAAATTCAGGCGGCTGCCTTTCAGGTTTTTCCAGAATAAATGCACTTGAGGATAGCAGTCTGAATTGCCCTTAGGCCACTGCAGTTCTACGATAGAACAGTGTAGGGATCTTGACTGGCAAGTTCACGTCAGTGTATGTACAGGGAACTTTATTGACACAACAAAAGTACAGCGACTTTCGTAAGGTCTTTAACTACATTTAGACATAGACAAATACGTGTGTAGAACAAAATTTACCTACATACAAAACAATAGATGAGTCAACTTATACTACTTGTTCTAAGGTCTATTAAATATTCTTTGATATATTTATCTATTTGTACACAGTAATGGATATTACCTTCTAGAATGAAATTGAATTTATCTATAGCATGAAATGTAACAAATTCTGTTGAGCAAGCGGAGAGAAGGTCGAACAGCTTAATTTGTGCGTTTATCGTCATATAGTGGACAATCCATGATAAAATGATGTTCATCTTCAATCTCATTAGGATAGAATGGACTCAAGAAATAGGATTTTGAGTCCGCAGAAGTGGCGTCCTAGGCCTTACACTAGCCTCCTTCGCAGTCTTGTTGGGCGTCGGCGTTATTTTTTCTGTGAGCGACGCGAGTAATATGCGACCGCGAGGGACGATTTGCTGCCGAGGGAGTTTTGCCACGGAGAGAAGGTTTCGCGCTCCA